GGGGATATCTCGGCGTTGGCTGGCAACTGAGATGGCTGAATACAGAGCTTGGCAAATACTTTCCAGAATTTCAGATCCCTACCTGGAGTTGCCGGAGATTGGACTGAGGGTCTTCTAAAAGCAAAGCATGTGCTCCAATTCTGAGCTATGGCCCTTCCCCTGAATGGTCATAGAGTAAGACTCTGATTCATAGGATTGCTTCTTTTTAAATATCACACAAATGCAATGTTTTCTTTTCAGTATGTTACTTGATATCTTTTATTTGTGCCAGCTTTTGTGGGTAAGTTTGAAAATGTAAAACATACGGGTTTATTTTCAAGAAAAATCTAGGCTGGCTTCCTGGTGACTTCCATCACACCAAGGCCACTTGAAACAGCATTCATGCAGCATGTTTATCAACTTGTCACAGTAAATTGTCACACGTCTAGCCATCAGGTTCTTCCAACTAGTAGAAACTAGCCTCATTTCCCCAAGGAAATTTAGAAGTGCCGAAGCTGAATGAAAGAGTATATTTTCATCATGCGAAAGGGCCTTGATTTAATCCCTGTAAACTCCAGGAAGACCTGAGAAAGTTTCCTACATGAAACCCTGGAAAGGCAGTGCCAATTGCTGTAGAGTGTAGTTGCAGTTCATGATGGCCATAGGAGAAAAGCAGGTGTTGCTGGTAAAGCAGATGGTGTGTAAGTATGCAAGTGAGTAAATGGGGGTGATATGCGTGTTGGGTGGGCATGTTTGTGAGTGGAAGGGAAGCAAATATATTGGGACTCTCTTCTGGCAGCAGCGATGGCTTCGGCCACCTTTGGCATGTGACCCTAAGCATGCTTGTCTAGAGCCAGTTTGGACTGGTAAATTTTTATGCTTATCTAGCCTCTGGAAGCTCATGCTAAAATGGAGTGTTAGTTGTTAAGTCTCCTTGTCTTTTTTTTTTTTTTCTCGACAGAAGCCCCAGGATGTGCTACTAGAGAGAATTGCTGGGGCGACAGCAGGTATCAAGACTCTCTTTTCAGCCAGTATCGCTCATGCATCAAAGTTACCAGGCACAGGGCAGTAATGCTGGAGAAAAGCTCATGGGATCTGGCAGTGTATGTTGCCATCCCATGATCTCTGCAAAAATCATAAACAACAACAACAACAACAAAACCCTAAATCAGAAAACCAGAATTTAACAAATCCTGGATAACATAAGCAGCAGCTTGGTAACATGCAGGGCCTCAATAGGTTCACCCAGGGAAAAAAATCTGTTTTAAGGCCACACAGTCAAATATCCAAGCATCTAAAAGTGTTTTCTTGGGGGAGCACCGGGGCGAAGGAAGGATGGAAAGGGAAGTCAACACACACATCAACCCACAGAAAATTCCAACTGGAAGCAACACTTCCACTTAACTAATTTATTTATCTATTTATTTATTTACATGTATTTGTAGGCCGCCTAATTTCTGAGGCCTTCCTAGGCAGCTTACAATGCATAAAACATAGTAACATAGTAAAAACACATTAAGACCAATTAAAGCATAACAAATTAAACATCTATAAAAGCAATTTAAAAGGGCCACAGCATGCAGACTAAATGTTAAAAAATTTCCTAAAAAGATATATCATTGCCTGGTGCCGAAAGGAAAATAAAGATGGCAGCAGGCGAATTTCCCTACAGAGGGAGTTTCAAAGATGGGGAGCTAGTAACCAGTTATGTATAGGAGTAGAGACTTGGATTCCAGAGCATATGCAGAGTTCATTGCAGAGAGGATGGTTTGAAAGAGAGGATATTTGCATCTAAGTAGTGTAGGGAAGGCACCCAAAGAGTAAATGGTCTTTCACTTTTATAGAAATCAGAGTTCAGGAAATAAATAAATGAGCCTCTTGCTGACTGACAATATCCAATAGTGTGATAGCCTCCATTTTTGAAGTCAGTGTTCTACCCACCACATCAGAAAATAACTCAGTGCCCAAACCTACCTTCCTAATGTTTCTAACGTATATCTTAAAAGAGTCTAACTAGTCTGAAGTGCTGCTGCTGCACTGTTGCTGTTGTTGTTAAACATACTGAAGTGTATGTAAGGAACCTATAGGGGTGTACAATGTTCTTCTCTCCATGTTATCCTCACATCTACTACCCTGAGAGTGAGTGACTGGCCCAAAATCACCCAGTCACTGAGTGGGGACTAGAACCCAGACCTGCCATCCAATGCTCTAACCATTACACCACACTCACGCTAATTAGCCCAAAAGGAAACAAAAGCTTGAGCTTTTATTACTTATTGGGAATGAAAGGGATGTGATCGACCTATTTAGGTTACCCAGCAAGATGCCAAGTCTCTGTTCTCCTACACAGAGGGGGATTAGAAAAGGGAAAAAAAACTTAAATGGTGCGGAATGAAGGAAAAGGTATATGGGTCAGAGAGGAACAGAAATTGGAATATTGATTTGCCCCAATTTCTTGCATCCTTCAGTGTAGCACTCTTGGCCTTAATAGGTTTAGGAGGACTAGGTTATTTTGCCTGTTAATGTGTGCTAAGTATGTTTTCTGATAAAACTCAGTTTAAACAGCTAGTGATAATTTTACTATGTAGGAAGTCTAGTTTATTCAACAGCAGGCAAGCAACCAGTGAAGTCTATAACTGAGATTTAGGCTATCGATAATTGTTTACACAGCATCAATATATAACTTTCTGCTAGAGGATTTAAGCTCCTAGAATGATCTCATCTATCTCTATTTGTTTTTCAAGAGTGCTTTGAGACTATCAAATTATCAAATACAGAACAATAATATTGAGGGATTGTGTGATGTCCTTTAAAAACAGACAGACATAAAATGGCATTTTATCACCAATCAATATCAGGAAAAAGAGGTTAGAGTAGGAAGTAAACTACAAAACTAATAAGTTAAATGTGCACAGAATCTTTTTCCCAAGCAGAAGTGTCTTTGTTCACTCTGACTCCAAATTCAAGAGCCATTTCTTGATGTCACTGGAAAGTTTTCATATTAATATTGATTGCCAGTATGAAAGGTCAAGGGATGCAGGTGGTGCAGTGGTTTAAACTGCTGTGCTGCTGGGCTGGTTGATCGAAAGGTCACCGGTTCAAATCTGCACAACGGGGTGAGTTCCCGTTGCCCTGTCCCAGCTCCTGCCAACCTTGCAGTTTGAAAGCATGCAAATGCAAGTAGATAAATAGGTACCACTTTGGTGGGAAGGTAACAGCGTTCCATGCACTTCGGTGTTTAGTCATGCCAGCCACATGACCATGGAGACTGTCTGCAGACAAACGCTGGCTCCCTCGGCTAGGAAATGGAGATGAGCACCACCCACTAGAGTCAGGCATGACTGGACTTCACGTCAAAGGGAAACCTTTACCTTTACCTTTATGAAAGGTCAACAAGTAAAATTATTCCATTGAATTCTATGAGTTTGGGGTTTTTAAAGAGTTATTTAAAAGTTAACTATTTTTCCTTATAAAACTATATACAGGTGGACAAATATACATTTATGGAAAACAATTAATATGGTTACTACCAATGACACCTATTTAGCACCAGCCGTGTGCCTAGAAGTGTGGAATTGATGTCATTGTCCATTTATTTACTCATTATTTAAGAATTTCTAGTATACTTTGGTACTATATACCATCCAGGGCTTGACAAAATGTGACTGAAAAAAATCCATGGAACTTCTTACTCATGGATGGGACTTATTATTAGTTTTATATTCCAACCTTCTCACAATGGCTTCAGAGCAGCATTCTTCCTGCCCCCTTCAATGCCCAGTTTATCCTTGCAACAGTACTATGAGGCAGGCTAGAACTTTGAGGCAGGCCTTAGCTAATTCTTGGCTGAGTTTTGCTTAGAACCTGGGTCTCACAGTCCTAATCTGGAATTATGGGTATGAAGGGAACTGCAATGCAATACATCTACAGGGAACCCAGTTTGGGAAAGTACTCTTAACTTTTTATTACTGCAGCTTTTCATCTGAATGCTTCATATAAGAGCACAATCCAGCATATGTGTGTGTGTGTGTGTAAATGTATTTTACACCGCTGCATTCAGTGTAATTACTTGGCTAGTAACTATTCCCACTGGTCACACAACGTTTATCACATTGTTGTTGTTCTTGTATTGTTTGACACCGAGCAGGGAACACATTTCAATAGAAATAGTTTGACTCCTGGTTCCCTGTGCCACAACCATTCCCAACAAAATACTTGCTGTGCAAGAGCTGTAAAAGTTTGTTCTAAGAGGAAAGAGGAGGTTTTGTAAGCCGCCCCAAGGCTTTTTGCAAATGGGCTGGCATAGAAATGTTATAAACAAACAAACAAACAAATAAATAAATAAATAAATCAAGCCAGCCAGCCAGCCAGCCAGCCAGGCCGGCCAGCCGGCCGGCCAGAGGAAATGTATGCACTGAGATATTATGCAGTGTACCAATTTTAAGGTACGCTATACATATTTACACAAAAGTCCTACAATTTATTTATTTTATTTCTATAATGCCCAGTAGCCAAAGCTAGCTGGGCATCATACAACAGTTCCAGATGGTGAGAGATGTAGGCCTTTTTGTCTGAGTGATCATAGGACTGCGTCCATAATCTCTTTTATTGAATCAGAGTGTTTTTCATTGAATATTTTAAGTATCTCGTATAAGAGACTATTCTATAGCAAGGTGAAAGAGAGGTTTTAAAAATAAACTTTAAAATTTACTTTAAGTTCTCAAAGATGACTGAGAAATTGCAGTTCTTTGAAATTTCTAAGCACAGCTTGGATCACACAGCTTCGAATGAAATATTGTTTTGGGGATAAATTTTAAATCCACAGTTGGGAAACACCTTAACTGGGACCAGTCTCAAAGATGCAGGAAATGAATTTGCCATAGTTGTAGTTAGTATGAGTCAAATTGTAGCACCATGTATATTGTCACATACTAGTCCCTCCCCCTGAATCCACCACCAAAATTTGAGTTTTCTTGTTGCACTTTCTTGTTGCACTTGCTACTTATTCTATTTCTTATTCTAAACAGGACTTTAATATGGATACAGATCTCAGAGACAATAGAAACAGGACACTTGCAACAGAGAACATCTCTGCATCTTCAAAGGGTTCTAATTTTCCTAACTGGGAAGACTATAAAAACAGTGTAGATGACATACAGTACTTTCTGATTGGGCTTTATACTTTTATCAGCCTTGCTGGCTTTTTGGGAAACCTGCTTATTCTTGTGACTGTAATGAAGTGCAAACAAAAAACAATTATAAACTTCCTCATCGGAAACTTAGCTCTTTCAGACATTTTAGTGGTAGTCTTTTGCTGTCCCTTCACATTAACATCAGTTCTACTTGATCAGTGGATATTTGGCAAAGTCATGTGCACTGTTATGCCCTTCCTCCAATGTGTGTCTGTCCTGGTTTCTACCTGGATGTTGATCTCCATCGCTGTTGTCCGATACTGGTTGATTCGCCACCCTCTTTCCAACAACCTGACACTGAAACATGGCTGTTACTTAATTTTGGCCATCTGGACTCTTGGTTTAGCCATTTGTTCTCCTTTACTGGTTTTCCACAAGATCATAGATCTTCAGGATGCTGTTGATCTTGAAGTGCTGAAAAGCAAGCAGTTGTGTGTTGAATCATGGCCATCTGATTGGTACAGAATTGCATTCACAATTTCCCTATTGCTCATGCAGTACATTTTGCCTTTGGTTTGTTTAACTGTAAGCCACACCAGGGTCTGCAAGTCTGTAAATTCCAGATTGTCAGGCAGAGCAAATAGACTGGAAGAGAATGAGATGATCAACTTAACCCTCCATGAACCCAAGAATCTTGCTCGTCAGGGACAGCAATCTAGTCCTGAGAAGTGGAGTTACACTTTGATTAAGAAACATCGGAGGAGGTACAGTAAGAAGACTGCTAGTGTGATGCCAAAAATTCTAAGGCACCATCAGGATAATTGTTCTGGAGACCCTCCTGAAATATCTGGTACAGAAAGAAGTCATATTTCATCATCCAGCAAATTTTTACCAGGAATACCCATTTGCTTTGAGGTGAAAGCAGGGAATTTGGAAACGCAGGATGGAGTCACAGTAGCCCAACCCACCATTCAAACTAAGAAAAGGTCTCGGAAGGTTTTCTGGAGACTGACAATGCTGATCTTAGTTTTTGCAGTCAGCTGGATGCCTCTTCATGTTTTCTATGTGGTCACAGATTTTAATGGCAGTCTCATCTCAAATAAGCATTTTAAACTGGTGTTCTGTATTTGTCATTTGGTAGGCATGATGTCCTGCTGCCTAAACCCCATTTTATATGGATTCCTTAACAATGGCATAAAAGCTGACTTGATGGCCCTTATTCCCTGCTTACAAATATCATGAAGGCCTACAAATTCACAATAAAATGCATAACAAACAATTATGCTATGAGTTCATTGGATAATGCATTTTGGCAAGTGGTTGCTGGTCATTTAAGATGAGATTGGTGAACACTGCGCCCAGATGATGTGATCCATTTCTTCATATAAATAAAATGACCAGCCTTGATATCTGGCATATCTCATATTTCCATCTATGATAAATCCAAGCTAGACACTCATGCCAGATTTTGGGCAAAATGACATCTGGGTGAGATAAATAAGAAAGACAATTGTTAATGTGCCCACTATATGTAGAAATACAGGATCATAGTACTGCTTCAAAATTCTGTCTAAAGTAGCTTTAGATGTATTTGAAGTTTGAAGACAAGTATTTGAAGCTATCTACATAGTAAATTTTGCTAGCAAATATTAAGCAGCAATGTATTCTTGTGATGAGGAATTCAGCAAATTATTATTTTGCTAATAAATCATGTTTAAAATCAACCCATTGTAAGTTTTTAATATATCTATAGAAAGCGAGTGCATATGAGAGAAGCCCCAGGATGTGCCCCAGGAGAGAGAGAGAGAGAGAGAGAGAGAGGGAGGGAGGGAGGGAGGGAGGGAGGGAGGGAGAGTTGTACATGTGAAGGAAACAAATTTGGTATTTTTATTGCTTAACGTAAAACTTAAGGTGAAAACTACAGACAAATTTGGTTTTAAAAAAGCCTATGGAAAAATGATGATTCCTTCATACTGAGTAGAATTGAATCATAAATGTCCAATATAGCTCTGCACAGAATTATAGTGAAAGAGATGGGTCCCTGTGCCTAAAATTATGCATTTTAAATTTCAGCTGGGAGGGGGAAATAAAGAGAAGAGTGGGAAGGAAGAGATAACAATAAGAAAGAACATTATTAAGTTTTTAACAGTTCTCATATGATACATTCTAAATTGTAACATTATGTTCTAGGATATGCTTTTTAAAAAGTGCAACAGAAACAGGAAACTGTTTCAGAAAACCTGATAAGCCACAGCTCCTTGTGGTATCCATGCACCCATACAGGTATATTTTCCCAACATAAAAGGTAGGCAGTGATCCACAGTTTCTTAATGGTTAATTTGTGATGTTTTTCTCATCTGATTGACTGGTTGCTCTCCTTTGGTTATGCATTAGGCTATACCCAAAGCACATAACTTGGTGTGCCTGCAGGCACAAACCCTAAAAGTTTACAGAAGCGATCTTATGGTCCCTAGACATGGTTTGAGAGGCCACAGGATACTGAGGCAAAGCTCAGAAATCTCCCCCATCTCTCCCGCCCCCTTGCAGGCAGCGCAGAAGGAACTGCATCAGCTGGCATCCGAGGATGGAAATCAGGGAAAGGAGGCATTCCAGAGAGCAGGGAGGGGAGCTAAAAAGCCCATCTAACAAAATATGCAGGGTGGGGAAACAGGGAAGTAAATAAAGGTTGCTTCTGCTGCTTCTCTTGCCTTGCTGTGGATGATCCGAAACCTTCGAATTCAACAACTTCTGATCATCAAGAGCACAGCTGATAGTACTGCACCCAAAATGAAACAATTGTTTGCCAACATGCTGTTATGCTTTTGACACAGCAAAGCAACAATGTGTTTTTCTCAACATCTAGTAAGGAGTGTTTCTGCACACAAACCACATGATGAGACCTGGTATTGACCATGTCCTAAGACCTCCTTGCCATCAAAGTTCTCCATGCTGCTGGAAAAGGCCACATTCAGAAGGAATATTTATCACATGAAGGTTACAGGGGAAAATGTTGCATCATGGCACTAGAGTAGCAATGTTAATTATTACATGAGCACTGTGAGAAGCCCTATTCCATAGATTTGATCTGTGCTGCTCCTGTAATGTCTAAAGGTCCACTGCCTCCAGAGTCTCATTGATCATGTGCAAGGTTTTAGCCATGCCAAGTATCTCTCCAGAGGATGAGCATTATTATTTCACTTGATAACCCAGCCTTCATGGAGAATGTGTCATCTGTTAATCTAGGATTACGGGAATCAGTGGGACATCTCCAGACCAGAAATATTTCCCAGTACTCTGTTTTTCTGAATTCATTCAACAGTCCTTTGTCATATCTTTCTTCATATATTCAGGTTGCTCATGGTGGTCTAGACCATGGGTCAAATTAAGGCCCATGGGCCAGATCTGGCCCGCCATGCCCATTTAACCAGCTGCCCCACAGGTTTTACACTTGCCAGGTGTGTGCGGGCACGTGGCTCGCTTGCAAGGAGGTCATTTTGGACTAGCTCGGAGAAAACAATCTCCTCGTGAGCAAGCCGGTACCTCGCCATGCATGCCCAGTGGCAGCTTGCTCAAGGAGAGATCATTTTGGACTCGATAGGAGAAAATGATCTCATGAGCAAGCCGGCGCTTTGCCCCGCACCCTGCACCCCACCCCCTGCCTTGCCCTGCCTTGCATGCATGCATGCCCCACCCCCTCACCCACCTGTGTCCCCCTGCCAGCAGCACCTTGGCAACCCGCACCCACCGCTGGCACCTGTCAACTGGCCCCTTTAGAAAAAGTTTGAGGACCGCTGGTCTAGGCAGTCATACAACATGTACAAGTAACCCAACAGTTTTCTGGGAAATTATTGTCAAAGTATTTGTCTGCAACTGTTTTTGCCACAGTGCTACTTGGAGAAAAAAGTGGGATGCTTCCATCCAACCACAAAAGTGTGCGAGTGTGTGTGTGGGAGGTGTTTGTTGAGACCTATGACATCATCTGCCACCTCTAGGTATACGCATTCTTTGCCCCTGTGTAGGAAGAAAAGGAACAGGCATCAGAATTGTCTCAAGGGGCTCCTAATACTGAACAGAAATTTGATCCAAGGCAGGCAATGCCATCCACTCCCATTCGTATTGCCTTTTCAGCCGCCTTGCATAACTTTACACTGTTAACTTGTCAGTGTGAGGTTGTGTGAATAGCATAGGGACAGAACTGCACCTGCAGCAATTAGGATGCCATGCTACATGGAAGCGTTCTCCCAAACAAAACACTTTTCCATTGTGAATTGGCTGCCTGTTAGAATGCAAGGACTGGAGCCTGGTCACTTCACTTCCACACAGAGCACAGTGCTCTCTTGCATTAGTGCTGGAATTCCACAGCAGCTGTTCATGCACTGCTCTTACACACAGAGAGCTGTCAAGGATAGAGTACCCAGTCACGTTCTTAACATCAAGGTCTAGATATAATAGTTACTCAAGTTATGCAACTGGCACATAGAAACTGCATCAATATAGTAACCTGCCTGGAGTGAAAACCAAAACTTTATTTTATACACATAATCCAGTACAAAGTTAAACCCGACAAATAAGAACTAGCAACACAAAAAATGGCAGTTGATCCAGGGTATGACTTAAAAAAATGTAAATTGACCTTTGGAAGTAGAACAGACAGATCCAATAAGCAGAGTATAAATTCATTAGGTGAGGCCATTTTTTTTTGGTAAATTATTAAGTGTTTAAAGAAAAAAATATATAGAAAGAAATGAACATCCAAAGAGTTTCCATATGTCATATGTATGTGATCACATCTAGACAACAATATTATTTCATGCTGATATGCATTTGTATTTTTAATGTGCACATGCATATGAAAATTCAATGTACAGCTGTTGCATTGAGAAATAAAATAACATACCTTTATCCTGACAGCCTGATCTCTTACCTGATATCCAGATCAGCACTAGAATCAATAGACAGTGAAGCAGGGACCCAGCTGAATCCTATGGTCCTGCTAGCTGCTTTCATGCTATTATTACATCAGTGTTATATTTGAATTATGTCATGTGGACCTTATAAGAAGCTGACTTAATTTAATCCCCTGGTAGCCTACTAATGGCAACTATTTTGCCCTGGAAGCCTCCAGAACAATTGACATTCAATTCATAACTCATCCTCATACCTCATTAGGCAGGAAGACCACATGCAGAATTCCTAGGCCCCCAAGAAGGAAAGGGCTCAGTCTCACTGTGGGAATAACGTTCTACACTGACATTTCAAAACACTTCACAAACCACATGTACATTAGTATTTGTGGAAGGAGAAGAAAGGTCTAGCAAGAGACACATGCACAAGGAAGAATTTCAATGGGCAGAACCAAGGGGCAGGAAGAGTGGGACCCACTCTATTACCATTGATGGTGCTCCAGTCGCCTGGCTCTGTACACACTTCAGGGGCCCAGCTGTGGTGGCATGTGCAGTAGCAAAGAACCACAGCCCCCTTCCTAGTGTGTATGAACCATTCTGAAGAGTGGTGAGAAGGAGAGAATTGACTTACTGTAAGGCAGGGGTTTCAAACTCAACTTACCTGGGGGCTGCTGGAAGTAGAGTCTGGGTGAGGCTGGGCCGCATCAAGTATTCCACCACCGTGGTGGGGGTGGGCCACTCATCCCGCGGCCGGCCCAGGCGCCGCCGGCGCTTTGAAGGCCACAGGGCCCCTCCCCTGTGCCCTGCCTATCCCGGCAATTGGCCCGTGGGCCACGAGTTTGAGACCCCTGCTGTAAGGTGAAAAGAAGCATAGCTAGAAAATGACGTGCATTAAGCAGAATTAGTCATTGATGGAGTTCTCACAACATCATAATAATTTATACCTTTTGACTATGCCAGAAGTTAACACCTCCTTACAAAGTCATGATTTTACAAAGCTTTACAACAGATTCATACAAAAGCTAAAACAAAGATATGTTTCTTAAATTTCATACTAATTTAAGGAGGAATCCCAGCTTATAATCTTGTTTGCAAGACTGATAATAAATGTTTTCCAGCTCCTTTTGAGTGAACATTTATTAAAATAGGTTAAGTGCCTTCATTATCTGATTATAAAAATCAAACCTATCTCCACAAAAGCAATGAATATCAGTGCAACACCTCTGATAAGGCAGTCCCCATGAAGTATAAAATTATTCCTCTATGGAAACTTGTGGTGCTAAAACTCCTGCAACGACTGAAATATATCAGGCACTGACAAAGGAGTGAACACAATGC